TTATATTATTATTATTACAACCGCACTTAGCAAATAAAGCCGCCAACATACGTTGGCACTGATGAAGATTTCAATACACTTCGGGTGAAATAACAGCTTTGGACCGCGAAAACTAGTCCTGCTTTAACGTGGAGAATTACAGATACGTACAACATCCCCACAAACAGACGGAGACACTAGATTTTTAAAAATAATAATTTTTAACTTCTCCACTCTCGAATCGAAATCGTCTTCTGCTTTGGACGACGAAATAAACCAACCACAAAAGTGGAGGTTGTCTATAGATGGCTAGTTATACATATCACTGACAGTCAATAGCTGATCTGTAGTCCTTTTAAAATGACCACTCGGAAATGAGCTCAAGACGGGACTTTTAAAAATCCCAGACTTACTTTTTTTTTACACTCAGACAAAATGAGTTCTATAGACAGTCTACAGACATCTTGAACTCCTGATAAAAGCTACAAATCACAAACTACGAACACGACCATAAAACTAACCAAACGCACCCCCTTCCCACCCCTTTTTCGCCCTCCCCGGGGGGTACGCATGGTGCTGAGAGCCCCACACATCTACTCGTCTCTATCGACCGAGCAGGGCTGTACTCTACTCCCACATTGCCTTGAGACATTACACAGTCGCTGTTTAAAAGTGATAACGCTGGTTCTGTACAGGCTAGAATTAGCGCCAATGATGTGTATATACAGACACCAGACGCGAGTTGTATCAAAGCAGAACTGAATCATCCCTCTAAATAGGCTACGGATGTCTCGAAAATTCCGATAAAAACCGTTTTCGATTTACTGTTTTTGGGAGGCAGTTTCGACTGCTTGTCTCGCTTAGTATATGTAATGTAGGATTGATTGACGGGTCGCTTTACCAGTGAGGAATGTCAGGGACAAAGGCAAAACAAATTACAATATAAATCGTGGGGAAATACATTCTAAATGCCTATTGGCTCAGAAATTCATATTTGTTTGAATATAGATTCATTGTTCTTGTTTGATTTCCCATTTAGCACAATAATAATTCCAACACAAAAAACAACTGTGGAGCAAAAATAAAAACTATTACTATTAGTCAACATACTTATAAAATCGATTTTCTTACAATTTTTATAGTGTGAGAGTCTGTTTTTACGTGGCCTCCTCAAATGTTAATGCATAATACAATAAGGACAGATCGAGTCAATGACCACGTTTTTGCTTGTTCGGAAGACGCTTTGTCAAGCCTGTAGATTTACTGGATTCGGACCATTTCTTATTCACAATTTAAAAGGATAAATTTTATCTAAAGAAATTAAATCGGTGTAAAAAATATTTTTGTTCAAGGAATGACAGTTGAATAGATTTCTATTGCTTTACTAGGCCCATACTTGGCTGAGTTGGTTTCCTGTTCTGTCTGATCCTATTATGATACGTAAAACTGCAACTGGGAATTTCACGAATAATGTAATTGGTTGATTGACTGATTGATTAATTCATTTTTTTCATTCATTCATCGAAATGTTTTACATCCTCACTACGCAATCTCAATAATTTAGTAGGCGTGCTGCGGCGACTCTGCCTCTCAGAGACCAACTCGTGCAACAATATGTGTCCCTGCAGAAAAAAGGAGATACTCAATTAAAGAGAACTCCTAACTCTGATGTCGAACTCACATCTTTTACGTGCAAAGTCAAAACTCTAACCACTACCTGAGAGACGCTGATGGCGATTGATAGAGTTCTCAAACTGGAACTAAAAGTCCACGAATTTAAGGATGTCTAAGAAATAAGTAATTGAATGAGTACTATGGGCAATCACTTTCAATTATCACTCTTCTGTAATACGCTTCGATCAGTGGGACTGGTTGTGGGGGGGGGGGGGAGTGGGGGGGTCAAAGTGCACAATAACATTAAACTACTTGCAGAGTCGACTCAACAGTGAGCCTTCCTACAGCAATGCTGTACATCCTGTGCTTGTCAGCGGGCGTTTTATGAGGCAAAACTTGTCGGCGCGGGAGCGGAAACCGTGTTCAAACTGGCGCAGCACCAAAGCATCCACACGTCGCTGAGGGAATTTCTCTGTGCTCAAAGGCACGGAGAAAATCATTAACCTGGATGCAGGGGTCTACAAATTCGTCGCGCTGTGAACTACACTCCGGCGGCCTGCTAGAAGTCCCTGTGGTATTTTCCCCACAAGAGAGACAAAAGCAACAGAACAAGGTAACGCCATCAAATGATTATCGGGTATGACGTCAGCAGAAAAAACACCCCTCCCTGTTTACATTTTAAAAGTAAAAAGAGGTACCTGTCTTCGCAGAGTGCACATTGACGAGTTTGGAAGCTTCTATTCCATTACAATTTTCCACATATCGTTTCGGGCATTACACCCGTTCTCCACAGACATACACTACATGGCGTGAGGATGCATAGTTACATGACGCCGGAGTAAAAGAAAAAAAGGAAGGAAAGAACAGCAAAAATCGAATTTAATGAAGTGAGTGCGTCCGCAATGCTCATGTATACTCCTTTTCTCCAACTTTTTGCGTACATAATCTCCTGTCAAGCCTACACGCCTATCAGCTCACGGTCCTGCTCCGAGATACAATATAATGGATCTATAATGTGCTTAAAACAATGTTCACACAATATGCTCCTTTCAGACTGCTCAATGGTGTGCACTGCAAGTATGGCAGGTAAACAGTGGTATACACTACCGAGGAATAGATTTCGAATTCGGGTAACTCTAAGAATTGTGGAGATGTTTTTCTCTCTCCTCTGTTCACAGCTGGATATTGTCGCGCTTCCTAAGTATGCAACCTTAATTGATTAAAAACGGCGCATGCAAAAGATTCCACTTGAAAATTAGCTAGGAGACGCTAAAAGAAAACCCTGGAATCATTATTGGAAATGAACATCTAAAAATGTAGACAACGTCTCATATACGGTATGTGCTATCAGACAACAGGTGGACATCTGACAAGCGATTGATATATCAGATTTGGCGAACAGCCTACGACCATGAGCAAGCTATCAAAGAAAGGCTGGTGTCACATGTATTTTAACATCAAGACAAACAAAAAAGAATCAAGCCTTTGTTCTTTGAACGCTGGTGTACGCAAGTGATGCCAGAAATACGAACGCTCTTCAAGAAAAAAAACCCAGCAGCTTTCACTTGAGATGGCCTATACAAATTGTAGGGATAATATTGCAAGACAAGATTTCCTGCAAAGCAGCACTGGAAACATCGTGAGCTCCCACAGTGTTTTCACAGCTCATACAACACAGACACAGATGTGAAGGACCTCTTTGCTGTAAGAAAGGTGCGCGAATACCAACAGAGCATCTCTATGGCCAACTAGATTGTGGGAGCAGTAACAAAGAAACACTTCTAAGATACAAAAGTGCTTGCAAGAGAGACAGGAATTCAACCCACGTCAGCTTTAGAATCTGGGTTCAGACAATAAAAAATAGCAGGCATCGAAAGAGGGCAATTCATACCAATGACTAGACACAAGAGAAAGATCAAAGAAGGCTTACTGCAACACCTAAAAAGTGACAAGATGACGCAACATGGATCCTTTCCTTGATCTCGCTGCAACACACGTTTCCTGCCACCCTCTGACCACATGCCACAGGACATAGGACGTCGCCAATTACGTAAATAACACCAGCGTCTGTTGTAGGCCAACTGCTCCGGCTATGACTGTTTGAAAGCGTTGTAACAATACAGTGCAACAGTCACATTTAGCACTATTCAAACATTCATACTTTGTCTATGATTATTTTTTTTTAAAATCAAACTGAGGAATCTTTTGAACCTTTTAAAGCAGAAAACTGTACTCAGTCACAAAAGTGAAGAATTATAGCAACGAATAAACATTATCAAATTCGAAAAGTGTAAACATTAAAAAATATTAGGAGTTTAAAACCTCTATGTTTGTAGTCCAGCTCGTGAACCACAGTTATTTCTGTCAAAAAGTATTTCCGGTTCAACAGTGTAAGAACTCCTAAACGAGACCTCTTAATGTACAAACATCTCCGACTGGACGGAGCCAAGCAGGTGGTTAGTTTTGAAAGGGTCTCAAACAGCCAAAGTTCAAGAACGCGCCATTTGGAATTCCAACTAGGAACTTTTTTTATAATTGCACAATGCTAATTGAGTTACCGGCGTGCCACATTTGGAGATTGTTTTTCCCACAGCTTTTACCACGGAGCTCAAACGGGCCTCTTTGGCGAAATAGTGAGGTTCTTCACTGATGAAAACAGAAACCATGATATTCCAGAGATTTTTTTTTCTTCTTTGTTGTTGTTGTTGTTGCTATTGTTTTTGTTGTTGTTGTTGTTGTTGTTGTTGTTGTTGTTGTTGTTGTTGTTGTTGTTGTTATTGATGATGATGATGTTGCTCTATGGGGGGAATAGTTTCTATTCCTTAATTTTTTTAATTTTTATTTTTCCTCTTTTTGTTAAAGTATTTTCATTTGTTTTCTGGAATGCTGTATACATCTCAGCCCTGGTTGACCCTGACAAGCAGGTCGAAACAGCCAGCATCTTAAATATTCATATTAATTGTTTCCTTGTAGGTGAAAAACATTTCTTACAAATGTACAATTTATTTACCATCTGATCCCAGATGTTGAGAGTGAGGACCTGGTTCTGCTCGTCCAAGCCCATGATCTGCTGTAGCTGTATGGCAAAAGCCACGCTGAGCGTGTCGTTGTAGTTGAGCACCGGACGGCTGTGGACTGTGCGCATCTTGTAGGACTCCACCACCTTGTTGACCACCATGTCTTCATACGACATTCCTCGACGCCGTGGCTTGGCTGGAAGGACAAACGACAATGACATAACGTTACTCAACTTAATAATGTGACAAACCTCTGTTCGTTTGTCTGTCTGTCTGTTTGTCTGTCTGTCCGTCTGTCTGTCTGTCTGTCTGTCTGTCTGTCTGTCTGTCTGTCTGTCTGTCTGTCTGTCTGTCTGTCAAACGACAACGACAGACGATACTAAATCTAAGGATACTGCAGACCTCTGTTTTTCTGTTTTTCGTCTTTCTGTCTCTCTGTTTGTATGGTTGTCTATCTGTCTGTTGTCTTTCTGTCTTTCTGTCTGAATGTCAGTCTGTCTGACAAACGACAATTACAAACGATACACAATCTAAGGATGCCACAGACCTCTGTTCTTCTGTTCTTGTGTCTGACTGTTTGTCTTTACGTCTCTATCTCATTCTCTGTCTCTCTCTCTGTCTCTCTCTCTGTCTATCTCTGTCTCTCTCTGTCTCTCTCTCCCTTTATCTCTCCCTCTCTCTCTACCTCTCCATCTCTCTACCTATCTCTTTCTCTCCTTTCTTATAACAGATCAGTGACGGAAAAAGACCTAGAAAGTATAGGTTTTTGAGAGTATCCGTGCAAAGAAACGAACGACGAACCATGATTTCTGATGTCTGTTTCAGATTTGGCTCTTCATGATGATGTGCGAAATTGTGTTTAAAGCCCTTTGCAACACTTTGAGTTTTTAGAGTTTTGTTTTATTTTGCTTTTCAAGAGACGGAACCTCTTTATTCAAATTTCATCTCCCTTAGGACCGAGCCAAAAGGTAATATTCGTGCCTTTCCCAAGGACACAACCTCGAGTTTAGTTGACCTCGGACAGACCTGAGCCTCGAAGCTCCAAACCCACTATCTCACAATTGTGCTTCAAATGGTATTACCACTAGACAACTGACGCCGTCTCAGCATCATGATGATGATGATGATGATGATGATGATGATGATGATGATGATGATGATGATGATGATGATGATGATGATGATGATGATGATGATGATGATGATGATGATGA